GATTCATCACAAAACAGTATGTGAAATACCTGTTTTCGGATGGTCTTAGGCGACCCCTGTGAAAGTGTCATTCAACCCCCCAAAGGCGTTGCAACCCTCAGGTTGAGAACTGCTGCTATAGAGGAATCTTGATCCTCCTGCATAAGGGGTATCAACCTTTAAAACTGATTAAGGGAACAAGGCTTGTGTTCTTGCATTCTTCATGTAAGAATTTACATAAAACTTCTGTTTTGGGTATTATGCCCTCCTTTCACAGTACTTTATTCCTAGAGGCGGGAGGGTCATACAAAGATGGAGCTTTCTACTTCCATAAGAAGTTCAGTCATGGAAATCCAGTGACAGGTTGGCTATGAGTGGGAATCAAGTCAATGGCATTGGGTTTGATCGTTTTGGATTTGAGTGAATAAACTTTGAGATTTCTGTTAGGGTAAGGATGGGACAGGAGTTCCACTGTATAGTATGCTAGGACAGGAATCCAGAGACTTAATGCCTGTTAAAGCAGCCTGTTAGCCAAACCTTTACTTGTAGCACTAACGACCTCATTTACTCTCATTTCTAGAGGTCAGGACTCTGAGCCTTTCATTGGCATAAGGGATGTTGCTAGGCTTTTATTACCCAAGCTTAAGTTTAAACTTCCTTTGATAAGACAGTTGTACTTGTTCATCTGGTTTTTACCTTGCAGTGTGCTGCATATGTGTATCTATACATGTGAGCATGTCTGTATGCATTTGTTTTTTGTTGGGTTTATTTCTAGTTCCAATAGTTTAGTTTGTGCCTTGAGGTTTAAAAGAAGGTGCACTTTTATTTTAGTTGTTAACTCTCTGGTTTCTGTTGAAATTCAAATTGAATTCAAAAGAAGATGTGGAATGAGGCCTGTCATTGCTGACATCTAGTGGATCTTGGCTGAATACTAGAAAGATGTTTACTTTACAGGTCAAAGACCTTCGATTGTGTGGATAATAAGCCATGGAAACATTACAAAGAATGGGAATTCCAGAACACTTAATGGTGCCCACGAGGAACCTCTAAATGACCATGAGGCAGTTGTTCAAACGGAACAAGGTGTTACAACCTGGATTAAAATCAAAAGTGTGTGTCAATGTTGTATCTTTTTACCATATTCGATCTCTATCCAGAACAAATAACCACAGAAGTTCGATGAAGAAGAATGCAGCATCAGGATTGGAGGATGGCTTATTAACAATCTGTGATAAGTAAATGGCACAATTTGTTGAGAGTGAGGAAGACTTGAAGTACTTGCAGTTGAAAATCAAAGACTGTAGCCTTCAGTATGGATTTACTCAATGTAAAGAAAGCCAAAGGCCTTACTTATAACTGGATGAATAGATAACATCTTGCTAAATGGGGGAATGATTGAACTTGTTTGGCTTTCATTTTACTTGGCTCTACAACTAATGTTTCTGGAAACAGCAGTCCAAAAGTCAAATAACTTACTACATTGGGCAGATCTGCTGCACAAGAACTCTTTAAAGTGTTAAATAGCAAAGATGTCACTTTGAAGACTAAGATGCCTGACCTATGGTATTTTCCTTTGCCTCGTATGTATGTGAAAGCTGTAAAATGAATAAGGAAGACCGAAGAAGAATGGATTCATTTGAGTTCTGTTGGTGTTGGTGATTGTATTAGTCTGGGTACTTTAGAGAAACAAATCCACAGTAACTCATATATAAGAGAGTTTTATGTAAAGAAA